CTGATAAAGAAATTCGATAAAGAGAGCTGGATTTCAGCTCAGTAATCAGATTTCTCAGTTCATGTGAACTCTTACTCTGATTTCTTTCAGATTTCTCAGTCTGCACATGTGCGAAAACAGACGGCGCTACTGGAAATTAGCAACCGATGTTGCCACGAGACGCAGCAAAACACTTTCAGAGCGACACTAAAACCAAAAACACATGCTTGATGAAATGAAGGATTTAAATATTCTTCATCTTCTAGATGATGTATGTTCATATTTTCAGGTAAAGTGGCTCAATGTTTTTTTTAAAAAAAAAGCTGTGGCATGAAGTTTGAGTTTTACATTATGTTTACGTCACGTCTTTATTGGCTGGTTGCAAAGTAGAAATCTGGTTACTGACTCATGTAGACCTGGAGTTTCCCCATCATCTGATTACCCGAGTGCATGTAAACGCCTTGATCGGAAAACTGACAAAATCTGATTTTCTGCAGTTTTTGGAATATTAAGGGCATGTAAACGTGCTGTAAGCGTGTAACATGAAAATGTCTTAAAGTATCAAGATTTTTGCCATGTTTTTGACAGCGGCTACAGCGACAGAAAACACTGAGTCAAATTCATCCACTTGCAGCACAAAACATTCTTTACATTTTTGTTTTGTTTTTGTTGACATTGAAACAAATGGGAAAAACTCAGAAGTGAAGACTTGATACAGAATGTAAATCAAATGCAAATGCAATTCATTGCATAACTTAATAATTACCTTTAAATTGTTTACATTTAAATAGTATAGCAAAAAGAAAGTAACTTTCAGTTTCTAAGTGTTAACATCTAATGAATCTAATGAAGCTAATGAATCTAATGAAGTAACACCTCTGCCTTCTATGCCGTAGACTTGGGTTTAATCCCCACCTGGGCAAGTACCCTACACTATACCAATAAGAGTCCTTGGGCAAGACTCCTAACACCACCTTCACCTACCTGTGTAAAATGAAATCAAATTGTAAGTCGCTCTGGATAAGAGCGTCTGCCGAATGCCATAAATGTAAATGTAAATTAATCAAAGCACAACTGAAAGTTGTATTACAGCCAACAGACACTGTTCCATATGACCTACCTCAACATCACAGGACACAGTGAAATACAACTCTTATTCAGTCTCTCTGAGTAATTCTTTCACTGTAAAGGATTTTATTACAGCTTTGTTTTTGTATGCTAACCTCCCTCTGACCTCCACTTTCTCTGGAGAAAACCCCAGAGCTGACAGACATCAGCAGATGTCGATGCAGCTCATGGTGCTTATATCAAAAGTACATTTACAGTGGGTTTTGTACCCCCCAACATGTGGAGGTACAACCTGTAGGTTTTGGGATTCCATATTGATTTTAACAGCTACAGCCGTTTTGGATTTTACAAACTTTCGCATGGTTCTGTTCCAAACATTCAGTCTGGCATCGTCCCAACGGCGAGCCCTTGACCATTTGTGCATGTGAGTGTAACATCAATGTCAGTCTGAAAGGGGCACTCCAGCCAAAATGAAAAATGTAAACATTGCTACATGCTATGTTGTAAACATACTCACCATCAACAGTGGTTCCACAATAGTCTCTAGAGCGAAATTTGCAAGTTTAAAGAGTAGGAAAACCCCCTTCTGATGATGCGTACTGAAGGTGGTTCTGAAAACAAAGGCTTTTGGGATGGATACATGTTTTGTTTTTTTATTTATTAATGTTTTCTCCAATAGATGGCTAAAAGTAAGGTAGCCAAAGTTACTACTTGGAGGCCACATAACACATCAGTATTTATTAGCTTTTATGTCAGTGCCTATGCTAGCAGTCAGGATGGCTTTATCCCAGGGGGAATCCCAATAGTTGTGTGATGTATTTGTGCAATGCATGCTGGGTATTGTAGTGAAAGAACATTGATGGACAAAAAACACTAAAAGGAAAGGAATGATGGATGGAGAATATTTCATAACACAACAACTAACACTAGTATTAGGCCAAAATGCCCCTTTAAGACTAGTATCCATTGTCAAATGATTGTACTTATAAGTCATCCAAACATGCTGACTTACTGCTGCGCTAGAAAATATAAATGCTTTAAATGTGCACGATTCAAATGCGCTAATTGGTTGTGCATGTAAAAAAAAAAAATGTTACGTCAACAGAATTGCTTTCAGTTTACTTACTGTGCAAAAGTGAAGTCACATGACCAGAGGTGGGTAGAGTAGCCTATATCGATACTCAAGTAAAAGTATTGAAACTGACACAATTATAAGTAAAAGTACCTTCAATGAAACAACTGAAGTTAAAGTACAAAAGTATGAGGTCAAAAAACTACTTAAGTACTGAGTAACAGATGGCTGTGGTTGGAAACATTGTATCATTTTTCATTTTCTGACATAATCTGGAAATGCCTGTTGCTCTTTATACTGTATGTAAATTTCATGATGAATGGACCAAAAGAAACGGCCCAAAACGACTTGGAAAAAGGTCTGGTTCCATTGACTTACATTAAAAGTAAAGCATGTTTTTCCTTCTACTGTAAAGTTACCATTTTGGAGATACAAGGTTTTGTTCTGACAGCTGCGATATTCAGCTGCAGTGGAACTTCCATCCAGCATCCATCAGTATAGTGACTAACATTCGTATGGCTTTATCTCTTTTTTTGGATTATTTTGATCTAAAATAAAATGCTAAAGCTGCAAAGTCAGAAATGTGACCAATCAGAAAGCAGTACATATGTTATCAACAACAAAAGAGATTGAAGTTAAGCACAAAAAGGAAGCGGTAACTAAATGTAACTAAGTAAAAAGTAGATTTCCTTACTCATTAATATACTTGAGAAGTACTACAATTTGAAAATACATCAGTATTTTACTTAAGTGCATGTACCTAAGTAAATGTAAATACTTCCTACCCACCTCTGCACATGATACATTTGAATCATGTCAATTCAAAGCATGTATTTTAAGGGTAAAGTAAGACCAGAATGAATACAAAACAACTTAATTCAGAAAAACAAACCAAAAAAACAAACAAAGAAAGCTGTCAAAATTCAGGATGGGATACAAAAGATCCATCTGCACTTAGGAAATGTGTGATGGACATGTCCAGTGTCCTTTGGCATAACACAGTGGCAAGGCCACTATTCAGTCTGCATGATTACACCACACAGACAGTGCTTATACATCCATGTGCAGTCAGTGATGCAGACAGGCCTTTAATATGTAGGTCACCATAACAACTTCATTGATTTTGAACCACTGACTGACTATTTTAGTACCTTTTAGCCAATAAGTGGCAAATAGTTCACAAAACAAAGCTCACACACTCACTTCCTGCTCAATAAAATATAATTGTGAGGTGTCATTTACAGCTTCAAAGCCCACTGGTCTTTATATTTTCCCTAGGACAGCTGGGTCCGTCTTTAAGACACAGTTATCTAGAACAGTACGTTCTGAACTAAATTTCAACCTCGTAAAAACAACAGTGAACACTCAAAGAGCCATTTGCATGTTTAAACGGTTCTACATGGTGAAATTGTTCTTAAAATTGATGGAGAATGTGTTCTACATGGACCCTTTTTTGAAAATGATTCTGTATAGCACCAAAAAGGTTTATTATTACAACTCACACTCTTGCTGTATATGTGTTGTTGGTTCTATACAGCACCAAAAAGGGTTCTGCTCTTGTTATAACTTACACTCTTGCTTATATAGGTGTTGTTGGTTCTATATAGCACCAAAAAGTGTTCCGCTATTGTCTCAAAATACACTCTTGCTGTACGTGTTGTTGTTTCTATATAGGACCAAAAAGGTTCTTCTATTGCTACAACTTATACTGTTGCTCTATATGTGTTGTTGGTTCTATACAGCACCAAAGGGTTCTGCTATTGTTACAACTTACACTTTTGCTGCATATGTGTTATTGGTTCTATACAGCACCAAAAAGGGTTCTGCTATTTTTATAACTTACACTCTTGCTATATGTGTGTCATTGGTTCTATACAGTACCAAAAGGGGTTCTTCTACTGTTACAACTTACACTCTAGCTGTATGTGTTGTTGGTTCTATACAGCACCAAAAAAGGTTCTGCTTTTGTTTCAACATACACTCTTGCTATATGTGTGTCATTGGTTCTATACAGTACCAAAAGGGGTTCTTCTACTGTTACAACTTACACTCTAGCTGTATGTGTTGTTGGTTCTATATAGCACCAAAAAGGGTTCTTCTATTATTTTAACATACATGGTTGCTATATATATGTGTTGTTGGTTCTATATAGCACCAAAAAGGGTTCTTCTATTGTTACAACTTACATTCTTGCTGTATGTGTTGTTGGTTCTATACAGCACCAAAAACTGTTCTGCTATTATTTTAACATACACGCTTGCTATATATGTGTTGTTGGTTCTATACAGCACCAAAAAGGGTTCTCCTATTGTTTCAACATACAAGCTTGCTATATATGTGTTGTTGGTTCTATATGGCACCAAAAAGTGTTCTTCTATTGTTACATTGTTCTATTGTTATTGTTACATCTTACCCTCTTGCTGCATGCGTTGTTGGTTCTCTATACAGCACCAAAAACTGTTCTGCTATTGTAGGAGAACCTTTTTGGTGCTATATAGAACCAACAACACATTCACAGTAACAGTGTACTTCAGCACGACCTAAAGCTGTTTTCAGCTGACTGTGACCAGGTTTTGTGCCACGACTTCAGTCCTGGCAACAGTTCTAAGTGGCGCCCCCTAGCGTTCGCGATAGCGCTGCTCCAGATGTGAACATCTGGTTGTACTAGCACAAACGTCTCCTCGTTTCTTGGACTGTTGTGGTCAATATATGAGGAAATAACAGCCATTTGATTAAGAAAAGTCACAATAAAAGTCAACAGTGGGAGAAAATGAAAATAACTCAGTCACTTTATGATCTGCACGAAAAGCAGGTCTTTTTACCCCATAAATGCATGATACAAATGCATATTATTGAAATTAAATGGCTATTGACCACTTACCCTGGCACTCTGCACACATTCCTGCCCTTTGGATTGAGTTCTTGGCCAAATGCAGGACAAAAGAGTAGAAGCAAAAGCAAAGCCCCAGCTGCTAAAGTGCCCTTCAGAGACAGCATCCTTCCAGGCCCTTACGCTCAGCATTCCTTTCAGCGAAAGGCAACGAGTGGAAGTCCGTCTTCAGGGGCGATGGTCAGTGTCCAGTTGCTTTCACTTAGACTGGAAAAGAGTTAAGTTTGGAAGGAGTTTTATCCAGACCGGCTGCTGTTTGGATGACTTTTCTTTGTGTATGTGTGGAGAGAGGGGGGTTCTTCTGCTACGACGCCATCTGAAGGAGAGAGAGAGAGAGAGAGAGAGAGAGAGAGAGAGAGAGAGAGAGAGAGAGAGAGAAGCAGAGACCCAATCCACGCAGAAGGCGAACCAAAACGCTTTACGCTCCAGCAAAAGATCTCTTCTCACTCATTCGCGGATTCAGCAACATCACTGAAGAAAATATACATTCTGACCATCCAGAAAAGAAAAATAATAATAATAATAATATAAAAACTTTCTTCCCGCCACCTGGGTCCGTCAATAAATCCACAACAGCTTTACTCAGTGCGTCACCACACACAGGACGAAGACTTGAGAAGTAAATGCTGCGGTCACTCCACGTTTAAACGCACAGTTTGCGAGTCTTAAAGGGGTCGATGCGCGTTAATATGCGCATTTTTCAGGGTTGCTGAAGGCGGATTCCGGATCAGCGCGGCCTGTTCTGGCCCTCAGTCCTCACTCTGAGCTCAGCTTTCCTCAGACTGTTCTCACTTTTGGCCGAAGCCACACGTAGAAGGTCTTTCTCCCAAAGTAGGTGGGTGTGTCTTCTGCCCAGTGCTTCTCCCAGCGCAGCTAAGCACTGCCCTCTCCATACGCAGTCGCGCGCGCGCGTGCACGCACTTCCATGTCTAGCAAAATGCTGAACAGATAATCTGAGTCTTAATCTTAACCACAGGAACCAACAGCTTTGGCTTATTTGAGTTTTTATAATGAAAGTTATTGTAAAAGTAAAGTTTCTGTAAAAAAAAAGGGGTGGGGGTTGAGGGTTGGGGGGCTGCTGTCCCCACGACGTTAAAAATGATCTTGTTTCCCATCATCCTGGGGACACAACGAGCTGAAGTGACCCCCCACCCCACCCAAGCACTCATACACACACACTTACACACATGTACCACTGCTGTTTATTAAGGCAATAAAAACGGGCCGAATTCCCGAATTCAGCAACAGCTCATTTCCATCCCATGAACCGCTATTAGAAAAAGGAAAAGGCCAAATGTAACTCAACAGCGCCCTCCTCTGTTTGCCTCTCGGAACATACACAACACTGAAAGGAAGACAGAAAGAAGGACGAAGTTATAGACAGCGTTCACAGCAGGCAGCCTTCTCTCTCCTCAGCTCCTTCAGTGTGGAAGCTCGTTACTGTATGTCAAAATGTTGACTTAGTACCTTGAAATAATGAGTTATTTTCACGAAATGTTGACTTAATACCTCGAAATAGCGACTTATTTTCCTGGAATATTAACTTCTGTTCTAAAATAGCTACTTATTAGTTATTGTCTCGCGATTGTGAGATAAGTTGGAGTATTAAATGCCATGAAACTAAATAATTATTATTATCATGATCGTTGTCGTGAGAAGCGAGTCATTATTTTGATAAAGTACAGATTAAGTCAATATTCGGAGAAAATAACTTATTTCGAGATGCTAATTCAACATTTTGAAAAATAAAATGTCATTATATTTTACAGAGTAAGTCAATATTCTGAGAAAATAACTCATTATTTCGAGATGCTAAGTCAAAATTTGAAGAAAATAAGTCATTATTTTTTACAGATTCAGTCAAAATTCGGAGAAAATAAGTCATTTTGAGATGCTAAGTCAAAATTTTGAGAAAATGTCATCTTTTACAGAGTAAGTCAATAATCTGAGAAAGTAACTTATTTCGAGGTGCCAAGTCAAAAATTTGAGAAAATAAGTCATTAGTTTTTACGGAGTAAGTCAATATTCAGAGAAAATAACTTATTTTGAGATGCTAAGTCAAAATTTTGAGAAAATAAGTCATTATCCTTTACAGAGTAAGTTTGTATTCTGAGAAAATAACTTATTTTGAGATGCTAAGTCAAAATTTTAAGAAAAAAAGTCATTATTGTTTACAGAGTAAGTCAATTTTCTTAGAATAAAAAAAACTCTTTATTTTGAGATGCTAATAGTCAAAATTTTGACAAAGCTAGGCGATTTTTTTCTTCTCTATCTGCCCCTCCTCCTGGCTATAATGAACAATGTCCTTTATTTTATCTCTTTATTTAAGGCTTTCTTAAGGTTTCTAAAGCTTTTAGCGCCACAAAATCACTACACGTGCGACGTTACGTCACCAAACAGTGGCGTCACGGGCCTTTCAGACCAATGCATTGAGCGCTTATTGTACTGAGAGAGAGAGAGAGAGAGAGAGAGAGAGAGAGAGAGAGAGAGAGAGAGAGAGAGAGAGAGACCCAACGCTCCAACTCCAGCACGCGGTTGTGTTTATGCGCGTCCGAGCCGGTACTGACCTCTAAAGCTCATGTCGTACCACAGAACCTTGACTGCCTGCGCGCGACTGGGTCTCGGTGTCCCGTTCGGAGGACCCAAGGGCTCGCGCTTCATCCATCGTCCCGTCCAGCACGCGCCACCCGCTGCTGACCCCAGATATTCTGTTGACTTTGACCAGCCCAAAGAAGCCTACAAGAGCAAAGCCACTCTAGAGCTGCTCCGAAACCTGCTGGTTCTAAAGCTGTGCTCCTATGACGTCCTGGTCGATAACAATAAACAGGTACGTTCATCAGGCAGAGTGTGACTGAATGCAGGCTGGGTTATGAGCTGATCTCGTGTTCATCACTGATTATTCAGCTCCTCCACTGAACAATAATGAGCGCACTATCAGTTTACATCTCTGTCTCTATTGGAAGTGGCTGCCCTTTACAGAGCTGACGGGTCCTGCTGCGTCCCAAATAAGCACGTGCTGCAGCGAATGGAGCTCAGTGTAGTATTACCACACAGATCCTGCTGACTTGAGGAGAATGAACTATTCATGTACGTACAAACTGAAACCTAGAAAGCTCATGTGGATAGAGACTGGATACACAAATCACCAGAGCAGCTCTGCTTTAGATGAGATAAAGAGCTTCATATGTTTCTCTTTGAATTTAAGTGCAGCTCAGCATGCTGTACCTATAAGACAGACCACATACAGTCTTCTTTCCCTCTGTGGTTCATTGACATCTCTATTAACTTGCTAACTTTAAAGGGCAATTACACCAGTTTGAAAAAAAAAATGCATAATTCAATCTTTAAGATGTAAAATAAATAAATAAATAAATAAATAAAATAATAATAATACTTCAGAGTGGTTTGATGGGATGTGCTCTGTTCTAGAGGAACATACAGAGTAAGAATAGTTCACATTGCTGGTGATAGGAACCAAACATCCGAAGTTTTGAACAGCTACCTCACAGAAAGCCATCACATGAAATGGTCACACCTTATTTTGATGGCCCCCTATAGATTATTAACAGTACATTATTAACAAACTTTCTGGTCATACACAGTTATTAGGATGTGGATTAGGTTTAAAGGTAGGTGTAGGTTTAGGTTGAAGTTAAGATTAAGGTTAGGTTTAGGTTAAGGTTTAGATTTAACCCCTTAAAATCTCATTATTCAGTGAATACAGGGACTTCAATGCAAACTGGCTGGGCTATGCTTATAGCAGTGTGGTCCAGCCAGTAGGCCCTGGCCGTTTAAGGGATTAATAGAGTCTTTCAATCTCAACTTCACATTTGTGAGTTGTGTTTAACAGATATTTAGTTGAATGCAAATTAAAGACAAGTTAAGCATTAAGGTTGAGCTGTATTCCTAAATACAATCAAACCAATATTATTATACAGTATTACTGGGTTAGGGGGTGTCTTAAGTGATGAATGATGCTTTTTTGGCTCCCCTGCAGAAAAAAAAAAACAAACAAAAAAACAGCATAGACCAGCATGGCTAGTCACCAGCAAAACTAGCATATGTTGCATTTTGAATGCTGGTCAGGTAGCATTAGAAGATAATGTGCTGGTCACCAGAAAAACCAGCACATCGCTGTTGTCGGATCTCATTTCTCCAAAATGGTAACTTTACAGTAGAAGGTAAAAACCTACTTTACTTTTATTGTAGGTCAAAGGAACCAGACATTTTTCCCAAGTCACTTTGGGTCATTTCTTTTAATCTGTTGAACATGAAATTTATGTACAATGTAAAGGCCAGCAAGCTTTTCAAATTGTGTCAAAAAACTGAAAAACATCAAAAATGGAGATACCAGGTTTTCTTCTGACAACAGTGAAACGTTGCATTTTGGCAGCCCAGCATTAGACCAGCGTAGACCAGTTTAGACCAGCACGGAATTCATGGTAACATGGTAACAACTCTGCTCAACACAGAACATGTTTGAATCTGGCTAATTAAAGCACCAACACAAGTTTAGACAATAATGACTCCATTCTGAGGGAGTGAAATTGAGCAGCTGGTGCTGAAGGGACAGAAAGGTGAACGCTGCGATAGGCATCACATGACTGCGGCATCGCAGTGATGTGGTTATCATCACAGCCCTACTAGGCACCTACAAAACATCTACAGTGGGCTATGTAATTAAAGTTGTTCGTTTTAAATATGCTGTCTGATGCTGAGACATTGTGTTAATCTAGTTTTGAGATAAGATTTTGGCCTAAAACATATTATTTTCAAACCCATATGTATATACAGGCTCTGTGAATCAGAATAGTCCCCAAAGAAAACTTTTTGGATTTACCGCTATTTTGCCATTACGTATAAAAAATAATAAATATATAATAAATAAATATAGAGGACACACGTGGGTTTAGTGGTTGGTAAATAAAACGACTATATTTGCGCTGTAGACATCATGACCCCTGGTTCCTATCATCACCACTGTAAAGAAATCAGAGTCTGTAAGTTTCTCTACAATGAAACATTTCACATCAAACCACCCTGAATGACATTTAAATCTTGATTGAAATTTTTAAATATCAGTCAAACTAAGTCAGGTAGCAAATCTCTACCCCAAATTAGCCTACTGTGACCCCAGTCCTGAGTGGGACGTCTGAAAACTACCTGATTGGGGGTTTAGGGATGGGGTGCAGTGCATCCAAGCTGCCAAAGGTCTGTCCCTTTAGGAAATTTGTCTGCTGATTTATCTTCCCATAAGAAATAGTGCATCCCTAAAATGCATCTAAGTCACAGTGATGCATACAAACCTTCTTATCTTAAAGGGGAATTTCCCCATTTTTTCGTAATGTCTGCATAATTTTATCACTATAATGTAAATAAGCTTTTGCAGTGTGGTTTGATGTGAAAAAGTGCATAATAGAGAAACTTATAGACTATGAATATCTTTACAGTGCTGGTGAATGGAACCAGAGGCTGTGACGTCTACAATGCAAATATAGCCACTTCCTTTACAATCCAAAATGACCAGTGAACCTACACACATTAAATGTTGTTTATGGTAAATTTGTGGCAACTCTGGAAAAAATATGTTTTATTTGGATACTTCTTTGCCTTACAATACCCTCCATGTATCTCTCTGCCATGAGTTTTATATATTTGAAACCCAAAGCTTCTCTCAAAACTATCGTTAAACGATGTTTCAGACAGTTTGTTACCATTTCATAGCTGTATGTGAGGTGGATTTTAGAGGTATTAAGTGTTTGTAACGTCTGGTTCCTATCACAACCATTGTGAACAGTAATGGAGAGATAAGCTTCCCTAGGGTGTCTCCTAAGACCTGCATATGTATAGATATTCATATCTGCACACGAACAGATATTTACACATCTGTACCTTCTTTTACGTTGGTTCTTCATTATTCTTTCTAATTTTTTTTTTCATTCTATTCATTCTCTTTTTATTTTCTTTGTACTGGTCTGTTCAGTACACTCTTAAAAAAGCTGGTCCTTGAAGAGATCTTTAGTAAAGGGAATGGCTCTATATAGATCCATACATTCTATATAGAACCTTTGTGTAACATACTTGACGAAATAAAGTGATTTTGAACACTAACTATTAAACCACTCTGAATGACTTTG